GTTTCTAGGTAATTTTTTCATACGTAAGTAAGGTATTTAAGTATCACCATTTCAAAATTAAGGTTTGAGGTTTTAAATTTCAAAAATCAGGTTTTCATTAAAAATTATTTATAATTTAATTAATTAATTATATATTTTATTAATAAATATAGGCCATATTTGGTACACATTATTTTTTTCGTTCTCATTCTTCTACTCATTTTCAATCACACATTTTTCAATAAAATAATATTTTCCATCGCATCAATAACTTTTCCTTCATTTTTAACCACACATTCTCCATCATTCTACTATTCAATAATACATTTTTTCAAAAGAATGTGTCCCAAACAGACTCATATAAAGGTCACATATCCAATTTGGTCACAATTAAAAAAAATTTAGGTCACAATTCAAAAAATTTATGGTCACGATTCATTTATCGATCACAAATTAAAAATTTAAAAGTCACAATTTGTTCATCGGTCACAAATCACAAAATTTATAAGTCACACAATTTATTTTATAGTCACAAAATATCAAATTATAGGTCACAGATTACTTTTATTAGTCAAAAAAATTGTAGGTCACAAATTAGAAATTTTATTTGTCACAATTTAATTCATTGATCACTGATCAAAAAATTATAAATCGCAATTTATCGATAAGTCACATATTTTCAAATTTGTTGGTCACAAATTATCGAAAACTTATAGATCACAGTGGATCTGTCCCCGTCACAACACCACCATAACCACCGCCACAATAACACCAAAAACCAACCACAACCATCGCCACCTGCATCACAACACCCAAAAAACCACCACAACGCTGTCCACCCGCCACAACACCGACAGATCTATCTGCACCACCGCCCAGAAAAAAAAACCCTAAAAAACTAACAAAATTTGATTGCCTTGACCAATGCCACCACCACATGAACCGCCGCCTCCAGTGCCACCATCATCCTCAATACCTCACCATAAAAACCAGCAATACAACCACCACCATCTCACCGCCACCATCTCACCACCCATCTAATAATTTTAAAAAAAAGCACCATCACTGCTATTTGCGTTATTGCAGCCACGATCTACGCCATCACCACCGCGATTTGTGCCGCTGCAACTGCAATCTGTAGAACCTCTGTTGGCATTCACAGTGAAAGAATGGCCTTACTCGACATTGCCCACTGAAAGTGAGAGAGGGAGAGATCCACCGATAATCGGAAGGAAGGTTGAGATCCAAGTGATGACCAAGCGGCGGACACGGAAAGTTGGTCTTCGCCTTGTTCACCGCGGAGTGACCGGCGGCGCCGTCGTAAGCAAGTGCAGATTCTTCTGGGGTGTCAAATGTGCGGTAGAGAGAGAGTGTGTGTGAAATAATTAGGATTTGAAATTGTGTATGATTGATTTAAATAAAAATTAATTTAAAAATTATTAATTAAAACTTGATTTATATATTGTTAAAGTTGA